GACGCTCACTTTAGTTATACGAAACAACAAGTTTCAAAAAAAAAAAAATACAAAAATAATTTGATACTATTACAGAATGAAACTGATTGAATTTTAATTTTCTCTAATCAAATATTCCTAAAAAAAAGCATTAAAAAGAATGCAATGCAATCAGATTACTATTTTAATTTCCCTTATTATAATTTTATTTAGTTTAACACAATTTAATTTGAGTTTTCTTTTTAATATATAATATTTCTTATGACTTGACTTAGTTCTTCTGAATTTCTTTTGTTTATTTGTCGCAATAATTTCTCATTTATGAAAGTGCTCTGTGCTGTAACAATACTTTACGACCATTCTATCAAGCATACTGACCTACTAAACAGCATCAAGTTGTACGTGAAACAATGAAAGTCAATAAACTTGGTACTTTTGTTACGTGAAGGCAGGCGATTGACGCCATAGAAAATGTAGTTAACAATTGAAAGCTTTCTTATTACAATGTGCCATAAAAATATGTTTATGAATACAAGTGTGCAATAGAAATTTTACTCCCCCGATAAATAAGGATATACTCACACATCGTAGTTTTACCCCCCTTACTACCAATATGATAAACAGTTTTATTGTTTTTCTCGCAGATATGTATACACACGTATGTATGCTGAAAACAATAAACACCCTCATTCGAAGAATGTACAAGTAGTACTTGTGTGCAAGAAAAGGTTTACAGACAAGAAGGAGAATCCATTGCATACAATATGCTTGCATTACAAAAAGGACAAGAAGTGACCTAAATAGAGATCATTTGAATTTGAAAGAATACTTGAAATTTGACATAAACAGTCTACAAATATGCGCCCTTTGGATAATAATCGATTTTTGCTTTACTTATTTACGCGGAAACAATTTAGATTGTTTTGGGATTATAAATGGTGCAAAGCTATATGTGTTAAAATTCTTTTTTGTTTTGTCTTAAGTTTTAAATACTTTTTCACAATGTTATTATTAATATCTTAAAGTTTTCTTTGATTTATTTTAATATGAAACCCCTTTCGAAAGTGAATAAAAAGCAGTGCGAGTGTGTTGAAAATAACAATAAACATCCAATCCTAAAGGCATTTCTCTTCACTGAATGTTTGAGAAAAGCGCTTTATAGTGGCAACACAAAGTAGTAATGAAGCAAATATAAAGCGGAATAAGTATTGTTGTATATATTGTGTGCATAAATGCTTTGAATGTGCTTATGATTTTACAAATTTATGTTCATATGTGATTATGTGTTTATGCGCAGCAGAGCAGCTAAACTTAATGAGGTATGAATTTGTGGTTCTGCAAGGAAAAGTCGTTGTCTTTTGTGTTATATTCTTAGAAGCAGTCAAGGGAAGTACATAATTAAATATCAAATTTTTATTGTAAAATATAAAAATATCAAATTTATTATTTTAATTTTAATAATATACTAAAGAGAAAAGAGTTTTGATAATTTTATTAAAACAAAAAAATATCATATAAATGCAGACATTTTAAATGCACATTTGTTTCAAAACTTAATTATTATTATGATTTTTAATATTAGAAAACTTTTAATAACATTTCCACCAAGTAAATCTCAACATTTGCTGCAAGCCAAGTAGCAGAAGCCAAATCAAAACATCACGAAACAATTTTGCCCGCACAGAAGCAGTAAAAGGGAGATAACACTCAGTCTACACGTACTTGGATAGCAGCACATGAGTGCTAGTATGGTAATAAACATATATACACAAATGCAAGTAGGGTGTTTAACAAAAGCAGAAAGCACACAGCGCAAAGGAAAAGGGAGAAGATGCTGCCACTAACTAAAGGGGTTTCCAATAAGAGGTGTTGTTTTGAATAGCCTGCATCTCACGTTTGAAGCTGAAATTTTTTTACATTTGACACGTAAAAACTAAAATTTCTTTGAAAAACACTCTTGACTGATGAGGTCCATTTCGACCTCAAGCACTAAGTCAATAAGCAAAACTGTCGCAACTGGAGCTCGGAAAACCCAAGATTTATTACTGAGGGGTATCTCCATTCTCAGCGTGTAATTATTTGGTGCAGTTTATGGTTCGAATGGGTTATTGGACCATACTTTTTTTTGAAAAATAATGAATTGTGCTATCGAGAGATGCTTAATGATTTTTTTTAAGACCGGAATCGGATGGCCCGATCTAAACAACGCTTACTTTCAGCAAGACAGTGCTATTAAGAGTTACACAACCCCTCTTAGGATATTTGCCTTTAAAAGAGTAAAAAATAATTTTCTTTTTGTTGAATTAGTGAGAAATTTTGGGATAGATGTTTTATAGTAAGACAGCACCATTGCACGGATACCAAAACCAAAGAGAATATTCTTCAAGCAACAGATAACTTAAAATTCTCTCATACTTTCACGTATTAGCAGAGAAAAAGTGGTTTTGAGTAAATATTTAATATTTTAAGCATTCAAAAATATTTTTACAAGTTACTTAATCAAGTTGGGAATAGTTAGATTCTCTTAGCAACTTCTATGTTATATTTTATATAATACACAGAACGCAAATAAAATTTACGTCACACTTTTAATAACTAACTAGGATAAGTCAAACTTATTGCTTGCTGCTACGTGTGCAAACTTTTATCTCTATTTTTCTGGTGTGTGCGCCTAAAAGTGTGTATACTCTGTGAACTAAACAGTATGTGGAAAAGTGACGTCATTAATTGCGAAATAAAAATGTTTGTTGAGTTGAGGTGAGAAGCTTTTATTACTAAATTAAGTATACTTTTGATTTAGTTACTTGTGCAAAGTCAGCAACATTAAATGCCAATCAAATCGAAATTACTTAAGCGAGCACTCCTAAAAGTATGCCATAATAAGCGTTTTTTTTAGATTTGCCACACGAACAAGTTGTGGTGAGTAATAGCATACTTAAAGGTAGTTAAGCTGACAGCTAACGTTAGAAGTGAGAGCTACTAAGCAAAGAATGATCAAAAACTTGAATTGTCGACTTAGTAGGAATTAACACACAATATCTATGAAGTCATAAACTTGTTTGAATTGTATTTAGTACGTCACTATTTTTACGTTATCATAAAAGTTTCTTTGACGAAAGAAACGAAAACGCTTGGTGGGCATACGTGTATATGCGAGTATGCACGAGTGGGTGGAAGTTCAACGAATGACATTCTTAATTTAAGTGCATGTGGATTATAAATTCCATTTATCCAATAGATATTCATCTACTATCAGACTTAAATTCTTCGGTATTTGCTAATTTTTTATGTGATACCAAAAAAAGTTAGTTTATTTTTATAGTTTCAAGAATAAAAAAATGTGAAATTATTCTCAATTCTTATTGAAGTCGCTCTTGCAAATGTTTAATTTTTATAAAACTTAGTTTTTTGGGATTTCTCATTTTCTGTATATACAGCTGTGGACATATAAATGGCACATTTTTTAAGCCGACTTTCTTATGCTTTTATGTCATTTTTGGTTCTTTTCTAAAGTTTATTATTCACATTAAGCAATAGCATAAGCTCAAGTTAGAATCCATTAACAACTCAACAAAAATAATGGTAATGTGGAAAAGTGGTGAAATGAGCTGGACATATAAATGGCACAATTTGGAAAAAGATGTAAATTTAAATAAAAATTAAATTTTTCAAGTTATTTTCTCTACACACAATTTAATATATAATATTTTGTGCTGTAACCTTTATTTTCATTGGCAGTTTCACATCTGTGACTTATAATTTATGTTAGTTTTGAATATTTGAATTTAAGTAAGGCATACCAAGCATCCAGAATGGCAGACCAGTTATCGCCCAATTTTTTACCAATTTTTTGTGATTTTAGCCTTCATTCCATGGGTTCTCAATCGGATTTAAGTCAGAACTCTGGGCTGGTCAACCTAAAACATAGATGTCTTCTTCACTCAACTAAATAATTTCTAATTAGGATAATTGCTTGGGGTCGTTGTCTACAATAAATTTCGATTTAATGGGCGTGCTATCGAATGCATATGGTGTTTCAAAATGTCGCTATATGAAATTTGTCCATTTTGTTGAAAATTTGAATGAGCGGAGTTATGCCCTGCCATGAAAATGCACCCATCACCCTAATATTTCCACCCGCATGCTTGATCGTCTTCTGAGTAAATCTGGAATTATATTCTAGGCTTTTGGGATAATAAACAAGACTTTGTCATCCGGTTCTATCCTTTTGGTTTGCGTTTCGTCTCTCCACAATAATTTTTTCAAAAAAAATACCTATTTTCCTTGATAGGCTCGTTTCACAATGCTCTTTTTTTAAAAGAAGTGGGGTTTTCCCAAAAATGCGCTCCAAACAATTTTGCCTTATTGAATAATCTTTGTGGAAGCCTGATTGATGTTTTTGTGCACAGTAATTGGCTTATATTAGATGCTATCGCGATGCGACCAGAAATGATATTTTTTTATCGTTATTATAATAGCAGCATCCGAGCGCACATCCGTCTTTCGAGGTTATGGCTTTCGAATTTTTCCAACTTTTTGCATTTTCCATACATGAATTATTTACGTTACAGACTTTCTTCCAGGAAACAATTAAAACTTTAGAAAGTTCTGTCACTTTCTGTCCTTCTTCAAGCACTTTCTAAATGGTTCGACATTCTTGAACTGTTGTTTTTATTAAATTTTGTTACTCAAACCACTTTTCATAAAACAATCTATCCAAATAAGCAAATGTCATTTACTTCTATTGAAAGTTTGTGCCATTTATGTGTCTACTCAAAATTAGCAATTAGGCTTCACAAAACTGATACCGCCAAATAATAAAGAAAACATATAAAAATATTTGAGCCTCTCAGTCGCAAGAGATGCTGTGGCATGCAAGTTTGGTGGATGCAAGTTTGGTACAACAATTTGTTGATTATGAACAACTTTCAGTAAATTTTTTTTAATATTTAGCAGTTTGTAAATAGAATTCAGTAAATTTAGCTAATTTTCCTTAAATAATTCAAAATGATTATTCTTACCTGCATTTCTGGCGGTCCACCTTCATCTCTTATTAATAATAAATAACTTTGGCCATCTATGAATACCTCCTTCTTAAAGCGACCGCCTTCAGGCGACTCCTCTTGCATATAGGAACCAGTTAAATAACGATGTACTAAAGCTGATTTGCCAGAATTTAATGCACCAACAATGCCTAAACGCAAATCGGGCACTGAGCGTGAGATCGTCCATTCTTGACTGTTGACAAAAGAATCTAAAGAAAAAAAATGATAAAAAAATATTAAAAAACAAACATAAAAATTTAGGAATTATTTAAATAACATTTAAATTAAAAATAGTATAGAAATTAGCATTTATTATTAAAATTAATTATAATAACACTTAAATAAAATATTTTTATTTTAACTGAGTAGTTACTAGACACTTCAACGCTGTTTTAGAAAATAATGGTCAGACTCTCTCTTTTCATTTTCTTTTAACTGAGTTTAAGAATTGATTTAAATTATCAAATTCTATTTGCCAATTAGTATGCTGACCACAACCAACTAACTATGAATTTATTCAAAAATTATTGGAAAAACTGATTTTGTACGCTGCATGGTCGAAAAAATGTAATCAATTGCTAACAATCACGCATGTCAATTATAGAAAAACAAAAGTCAACGGATAAAGTTGAGTGGCTTACTTACTTAGTGAAGCAAAACCAGTTTCATATATTCTCGTATATGAATGTATGTAATTGGTTCTGCTCGAAGTAAGACAAGTAAGCAAAACGAGTATAAAAATAAAAATAAACAAATTTAATGCTGTAAATGTTACATAAATAGCTGTTTTAGTTGGTCAAATATGTAGTATATTTGAATTGTCAAAAAAAAAAATATATATGTATATATAATTTGCGAACTTTATGACAGCTGCCGATAAAAAGCAGCAGATACAAAATTAGACAACTTTAATAGTCAAAAGCGTCTGAATAGTAAGGAAAAAAGGTGGCTACTACTTTGAACTCATTAAAATTGAAACAAAATTTTTATTTGAATGCCAAAGTCTTTTAAACTCCAGGAAGTAAGTAGAGCAGGTTATAAGTTTTTCTATGCTTCAAAAATATAAGCGTACTTATGTGCTTGTGTTTGCATGAAGAGCTTCGAAAAAAAAACGTAAAGAAAGTTGATTCTAATGCCCATGATTCTAATGAAAGCTACGAGGGTAATAAGGGGGTTGGTTTCTCTTCAATTATTTGAGGATTCTCGTTGCCCCGTGTGCCAAATCTTAGTTATTACTGCATCTCCTGAATGAAAAATGTGACTTGTCGCTGAAGAAAGTTTTGTTTGAAAAATCTTAGTCTACTACTTGTTGTTCCACCACTCAGTCCTTTCAAAGTTTGTTAAAAATATTGACAACTGCTTGAATAATTGGATGATTGTATGTATCATATAATAATCCTCACTTAAAGTGAGAAACGTGGTCAAAGTTGAATCATATTTCCTTTTTAGTAGGTTTTAACAATTTGTTACGCGTTTCATTTTCAAATATGCCTGACTTTTAACTAAAACTAAAAATGTTTGGTTTGACAGTTAATTTTGACGGATGTCCAAATTATAGCCCTGCCTTTTGAAACCACGAAATGGTTAACCTTATATGATGTTGAACGCAATTAACTATTGTACATACTAAAAAATTTAAATTAAATTTAAGTGCATTCCATAGATGTTGTTGGTGCAAACAGAACTAGCTTTTTTAAGTCCTATATAAGTCAGAAAGCTTAAAGCCAAAAAAAAAAGGTTTTTTGAAGTTTAAAACATACAAAATATTATGTTTACCACTTTGTTGAAAATTTTAATGAAAATGTTGCCTTGCATAAAAACACCACAATATAGATAATGCAAATATTTTAAGGAAAAACATTTATACATTAAAATGAATAACTTAATCAGATATTTGGAATATGGGTTTCAAATTTAAAAGGTTTAATAGGTTTGCTATTAGTCTACGTATCTTCACAGAGACGACAATTTTTACTGAAGTAAATATCAATTATTGCGGTTCTGCCACAGTGTTGACAGTCGAGAAAATCATTTAGTACTAAAATGCTTACTAAATCTTATGCAAAACTAATAAATATTTTATCATCGAAACATGGCTTTTTATTACTCTTTTCATATAGAAAGATAAAGATGTTCAATCATACAAATAATCTTTGGACATTAATCAATATTAGTTATATATATTATTTGTTCGAAACTTTTCGAGCAGTTCGAGCATTTGAGTATTTCAAGCTTTTTCGAGCAAGTTCATTTTTTCTTCAATATTTTTTCGGTGTTTTTGAATTTATTTATGCAAGGTGTATAAATAACAAAAAATGGTGGAAAAACTTCATTTTTGCTCGAAGTGTTGCAAAGTTCGAAATTTCTAGCAAAACTTAAGCAGTTGAAAAATGAAAGGTTAATGAGTAGAGCTCAATATTTTGTTCGTACACTCGCTTATTGCTCATTACTCGAAAATTGTCGAAAACGAGATCTCGCAATGCTTGCTTATTGGAGCATTTCGAACTCAAAATAAGACCTTTTCCTAAATATTTTTTGTCTATATTTTTAAATTTAGTTATGCTTCTATGATATATAGATTTTGAAATGAAAATATGGCTCTGAGAGATCCTTTAAGCTGATCATTCATAACGGGCACCACACTTTTGTACTAGTTTTTTAGTAGTTATTTACTATTTCTTTACTCTTTAAATTATTTGATATTTTCCCACATTAAATTAATTGGTTTCTTAGTTCTAAAGTGCAAAGTAAGTTGGAATGAGACAAAATTTATTTGTAGCATTTTTAACAAACTCAAAAATGCATTGATTTTTTAAGTAAGTACTTTTCTTTGTCCACTAAGCTTTTCAAGCAATGGTGCAGAAGCATAATTTTAAATGCAAGAATATTAGTTTCAATCTTACTTATTGCATTATGGCTAAATTTAATTCAAATAATTTTATTTAATAAATGCATTTTTATAATTATTGAATATTTATAATATACAATTTTTGACTGATCTATACACATCGCTAGAACTCTAATTTTTCAAAACATGTGACAAATAAATAGTATAAATATAAATATAAATGAAACCACCATTTTCAATTCGATCGTACCAAAACGCCAACACCTTCATCTACGGCACAGTTTCCTCCTAAGAATAAATTTCTTTCCAACTTCAGTGTTCTTTCTGACTACTACCACCATTTTTTATCAAAGTTGGTAAAAATTAACAGTATCATTGTTTAGTAAGGCGTAGCTGTTCTACTACAACAAACCAGTCTCTCCCTCCACGAGCAGGAATATATGAATGAATGATACCTTTGTATAATATATGGCAGCCCAATGCCGCATAACCTTACGAGTTGCTCATTATGAACTGCTGCTTTCAATTTTTTTTTTTTCACATGCATTCTTACTTGTAGCTTGTAGTTCATACTGTGAAACATACATCGTTTCGGTGTTGACAAAATCGTATGCGTCCTTATTGCGTACGTCCATCATGACTTTGATTGACAGCTTGGCGAGCACATGGGCAGACCGACAGACAAGACAGGCAATCGTCCAACAGTTTATCATCCACATACAGTTACTCTTGCACAAAAGAAAGCCAGTTAGTCTTCTGCTCCTTCAGCAGTCAGTCTTCTCGTTTTGTTTGTACTAACGATTGTTTGCTTTCTGGCTGGACACTTTTGTGATTTAAATGCAATGCTACAGTTTCAATTTTTCGGCAAATTTGTACGATTTTTTGTTTTGCCTTTTAGTACTAACAATTGTGTTTATCAAACTTCATACGTGCACTGCTTGTTCTTTTCGTTACTTGAAGGGCAATAAATTTCCCATCATTTGCCAGCAAAGAAATGTATTTTTCCATAACCCTGTTGCTTCCTACTTTTCATTCCAGATTTTTGCTTTTTGATTTTGAAATTATTATCTGTTTTTTTTCTGCCATTCGTCATTGTGTGCGACGTTCGAGGAGCATAACAAATTCGCAAGTGTGTCAGCTGCTTGATGCTGTCAAGCAAACGTCACATGTCATTGTTAATGTCGTCAGACGTGAATGCTTGTATATGTATATATATATATATATATATATATATATATATACATTTATGTACATATGTACGATTTGCAAAGATTTTTCTTCACAAATTGTCACTTAAAATGTTATGGCACATTTAAGACACATTTTTAAGTGAAATTGGCATATGAAATTTTTAAGAAAAATAATTTATCTTCTTAAAGTAATGTATTATATACGATTAAGCTGACAGGTAGTTGTAGTTACTCTTCATGAAACAGCTAATCTTTTGGACAAAACTGAAATCTGCTTATAGGTCAAAGGAAAAATACCATTTTAATTTTTAACTCTTAACGCGTAGAAACCTTTAGAAACAGGACACACAACGTGAATTCACGTAGTGTACATATACACTATTCTATTTTATTGTATGAAATAAAAAATAATCAAAAAATAATTAAAAATAAAAAATGCCAAAACAAAAAGAACGAATTAAAAAAAAACATAACACCAGAAAAAATTAAAATAAAATAAATTAAAATAATATTAAATAAAACAATTTAAAAAAATAAAACAAAATGAAATAAAGAAAACAAATACAAATTACTATAAAATAAAAATAAAAAAATGAAAAATAAAGACGATAAACGAAAAAAAATCATTTAAAAAAATATTACATGAAAATTAGAAAAAAACAACAAAATGGAAAATATAAAATTAAAGAAAGATAAATTAAAATAAACATAAATAAAATAAAAAAAAACAAATAATTAACCAACACATAAGAAATTAAATTAATAAAAGAAAGAGAAAGACAAATAGAAGGCGATAAAGAAAATAAAAACACAAAATAAAATAATAAAGTAACTAAATTGGGAAAATAAAAAAAATGAAATAAGATAATTTAATGTAAAATAAATTAAATTAATATAAATTCAAATAAAATAAAATAGAACAAAAAAAGTAATATAATAAACTAAAGTAAAATGAAATAAAATGCAATAATACAAAACAAAACAAAAACCAATTTTAATTAAATAAAGACAAATGAAAATAATAGACCAAAAGACATGCAAACCTAAAATAAATTTAAAAAATGAATAAATTAGGAAGATTAAAATAACAAGACAAAAATAAAATGAATAAATCGAATTAAAATTAAATGAATTAAAGTAACATAAGATATAATAATACATATATGTACAA